AGTAAAACCTAAATGACACATCTGTACATGTATGTAAATGTGTAGCTGTTTGTAGAAGGGACCGGGCCCATCCAACTACTGGACATAACCTGCATTCCTACCACATGGAAGCTACTGTTCAGGCATCATAGCGGCAAAGATGAGTAGGCACATGGCTCAATACATAAGCGGGGCACAAAAAGGAATTGGCATCAATACCAGAGGCACAAAACACCAGCTACTGATAGAGACTGCAAGACTTGGCTGACCAAGCCCCACACTCAGATCCTGGAATGCCTAGAACTGTACAAGATCAACAGGACCCTAAGAGCTGTGGAGAGGCTGCTAGGAAAGCTGAAACCACCAAGTACCTGCAGAGGGTCAGACAGGTCCTGAGGAGTCAGCTGAACAGTAAGAACAGATCCAGGCTATCATCACTTACGCCCTGCCCATGATCAGGTACCCGGCTGGGATAATAAGAGATGGAAGCCACTGACATCAAGACAAGGAAACTCCTGACCATGCATGGAGGGTTCACCCTAAGATCAGCACCCTGAGGCTGTATGCTAAGTGGAAGAAAGGAGGACGGGGACTGGTGAGTGTCAGTACCACAGTCCAGAATGAGACAACAAATATCCACCAATACAACCGACCACGCGTTCAGTGAATACCTCAGGCAGCAGAAAACCAAGAAAGAGGAGGAGCCGTTGTAGAAGGACAGTCCCCTGAACGGTGTGTACCACCGGCAGATAGAGGAAGAGGCCGACATCCAGATGTCCTGATCTGAAAGACAGCACAGAGGCACTAATCATGGCAGCACAGGAACATGCTCAGAGCATATATACCTGTGTGTATGAGTGAGACAGTTTTTGAAAGTCAAAGTGATCTGATTTGTTCACTGAACTTAAACTCAGTATTTATTCAGGTTAGGATGTACGCATTTGGAAAAAAATAATTTTAGGTGTGTTTCAGTGTGTGGACTGAACATGCACATGTGAGTCCTCATATGTCATTGTGCACACTTGTGGAGCTCAGTTTATGCTTGTGGATCAAACCTTTGTTGAACACATTTTTCTCCATACATATGCATCAGTTAGAGCAGCAAACAAGCAATAAAAAGAGTAAATACAGCAAAACCAGTTTTCATCAATGTGATATTTTGTACAGTTTCTGTAAATACACAGACTGTTAAACACAGAGGAAATGATGTGAGCTATTACATGTAGGAGCTGGTAATGTGGTCCATAGCAACATGTATGTCAGGGGAATGTTTGTGTCTCTGACAGCCAAAAGAATATTATCATGGATTGTGTATGCTAAGGGCAGAGGGGCACAATAGTGCACATTTCTTACATTGTATTAAATCAGGAAGTGAAAAGGTTATGATTTTTTTCTTGGAATATGACTGTTTTTGAGAAATCCATGCATTCAGATACTATTGCTGAGTAATTCTCTGTAATGAACTCAAAAATGTTTTTTTGTGTGTGTTTCAGATGGATTCCCGATGATGGAAGAAGAAAACCAGTCAAGAAAATGTAAGTAAAAAAATAAAATGAGAGCATGTATTTAGCTTTAATTAACAGGAGTGTTTTTTCAAAAGGTTAACTGATGGAAATTCTTATTTTCTTATTGTCTGTAACACCATCAGTTATAATTTGCTGTGTTAGAATAAAATAAGAAAAAATAAGCATGCATTGTCTTGGTAGATATGAAGGAAGTTTAAGGCTTAGTAGAAGAGACTGTATAACAATGTTTAGTTCAGTTGCTTTGATATTGAGATCCAGTTTTCTCCTGTTGAATAATCTTTAAGTCTTATATTCCAATAAATCAGATTAAAATAATTTAATATATAAAACCATATATTTTCTCTGTAAAACATGTGAAACACATACTTTACATCATATTAAGCTTTCATTTCATCAGCTTGATTGCCTTCAGATGGTATTCATTAAAACCACAGTAAGTGATGGTGTGGTGCTGCCAATTTTAGTTTTCTTTAATAAGTTCGAACTGTTGTAAACATTTGATTTTGTTGTGGAGCTCTTATATAATTATTACAGTTTTAAGATGTAATTTATGTTTGCTTACTTATTACTTTAGCTGGAGTTGAACTGTAGCAAAAGTCAAATGTAAAAAGAATGCCAACTGAAAAGCTGTGTTAGGTCTAATAAAGACTTGTCGATAGTTTAATTGACTTTACATTTCAGGGAGGTATGAATGGCAAAGTACTGAAGAAATGACAAAAGATATGTTTTTAAATACTACCAGTTTTGTATTTGTAAATCACAATTTCAAAGTCAGTACTTTAGTTGTTCTTTTTATAAACTTATGATGCAATTTCATCCCTCTTTTATTTTCCTCGATATATAACACTCTCATTTTCTTTTGAATGTTGCTGTTCTTGTTATCTTTGTATTAATTGTAATCATTTT